CTTTTCATAATCTGACATTTGTTAAAACCACTTATTAGAAATTATGCAGCACAGTAGCTGTGGAAATATGAGCTGCTTCACAATTATAAAGTCAGCCTATGTAGCCCTTTCCTATTGTACATAGTGGCATAAGCCCCACAGCGGCCTATCAGCTAACTGGCAGGCAGGGGGCTGCTCTATTCAAAGTGAGAGATACAAGCTGCAGGGCAAAAACCTGGCAGCTCCCATCTGACCCCACAATCCCCTACTGGTGACAGCTCCAAGCTCCATGGCAAATTAGGCCTTCTCATATTACAATTGGAGAAGACAGATTCCATTAGCAGTATCTGAAATTGAGTGGAGAGCTGCACTGTTATCAGACTTGACTCATAAGCACTGCTATTAATCAGAGCTATGATAGCATTTATATATTTCAAGCTATCTGCTGCCGCTGTGATATTCTGCTACAAAGGGTTGATGGGACTTAGGAAAGTGAACAATAGAGCTTTCTGGGAAAAGCAGAGTAAATCAAGAAAGTCTATGACTTCCGCACATTCTGAAGGGATTGCGGTTTACATAAATTTTCTCCCAATTGGAGATTGAGCTCTTCCTCATCTTACACATGGGATTTAGTTGTCACTCAATGGTAACAGCTGTGAAAAGGTGAAGCGGCCCACCGCTCAGAATATTGCCTTCGCTTTTAAAGCAATTAACCCATGAACAGGAGGATACCTGGTGATATCAAAGGGATTAGACCAGGCAGTGCATTATTAACATCTCCTTGAACTAATTCTAACTCTGACTAGCTGTCAGAAAAGGCTCGACAGTCTTAAAAGAGTTGCCCCGCTTTTCTCCCTTCAAAATGAAGCACTGCTATTTGAGCCTAATATGTCCCTCAACTTATCAGAAAATGCAAATAAACCAGTCTCTTAATATGCTTAACAAGTCTGAGTCAATGCAACTTTAATACAAGTATGAGAGAACTATATGATCAACTAACCAGGGATGAAGACAGATACTCTCCTGAATGGAAATGAATGCTCCAGCACTTTCATTCTTCCTCAAGTAGAGAAACTTGGTGATTATTTGTTACTTATGCATAGTTACTTATGAAAGTAGGAAGAGCTTCCCATTATTCTCTATAGCAATAATCTAAAATGCTCTTTGAGCTAGAAAATCCAAATGTCCCTAAGCAGGAGATTCTGCATTCTCTAAGGTATGGCATTTTAATTTTCTGTTCTTTATTGAATGGAGTCTTAATGGAAGCTGGAAGAAGAGTACTGAGAATCAAGCACTCTCCAAAACTACAAGCAAATTAATTTTTAGCAGTGAATTAATATTTAGAACAACAGAATGTAAAAAAAAAATGACAGAATCCATACAAAAATGCGGGCACAAAATCACCTATTTTGTTTAAGTACTGCTGTGGTTGATAGTAGTTCTTTGCAGCTGCAACATACCTCGATTAATGGTCTACATGTATTCTATATAATCTATGTGACATTAAGAGATCTGATTTCTCACCACACAGTGTTAATGATGCTAGTGTTTCCATATACAGGGCCTTTTAGACTACCCAAAATTCTGCTTCTTTAATGGCTAGCTTATACTTATTTTCCTTAAATAAGTACTGAATTTTGATGATTAAAAACTAGAACAGCTTTACTTTAGTTCTCATGGAGAGCTCAATAAACACTGTGGGATGAATTGTGCTGTAGTTCCATTTGGCCACTAATAGTTGGAAATCATCAGTGCCATAATTTGCTGACTTTCAAGTCTATTGAGAATGTATTTCTCCTCCTGTAACTAGCAAAACAAACAGATAGAAGATAAGCACTCATCTGAGAGCATAAACAAGTTAAATCCTCCCTGAGGCACAGCATTTTTATACAATGCTATCAGCAATCTTTAAGTTATACCAGCACATAGAAAATGTGTTTGATATAGATGTTTGATGATAATGATGTTAGTACTCTTCCTTAGCCATTACATAGGATCTAGTTTGATGCTTCTTAGAAAATAACTTTGAAATTCAAATATTAAGCAAAGTTAGGTAGCATTCATATTAATGATTTACATTACCTAAAACTTTTCACATTTTATATAAATAGGATCTATGAATTGCAAGTAGGATACTTCAAATTATACACTATCAAATTTAAAAATCATTTACTTCAGTGGCCTTAAAATAGAAAATCTCTATTCCTATAAAACACTAAATTAATTACACAGCCTTAATAAAAAGATATAGGAATGAAGTAATTATTATTTCATATAAATGAAATAGGTTAGATTAAGTTCCTCTAACATAATGCATGCTTTAAAATGCCCCTAAAGGGGACAATTCCTGCAGAACAGTCCACTCTTACTAACTCAATCAACTACAGTGACATATGCAGCTTGCAGTGAGCTGTTTTACTCATATGCTTTCTATATTAGAGCACAGAAAATATAATTGAGTTCTTGCCAACCATTAGGAAAGACTGACAAAAAAAATGCAGCGTTAACAACATCTTACGACTTTTAAAAGAAAGAAAAGGAAGCAAGAAATGCAAAAATAACATAGTAATTGGAAACAATGAATAAATTGTTCTTTCACTTTAAGTCGTGTTTACTGAAAAAAATGGAGCTTTTTACATCAACACATTTAAACAGAAATTTGCTTTTGAAATACAATCTTTGTTTAAAAGGTACAGAAGGTCTTTATGTCCACCCCAAGAGCTAAATATAGTGAATGCTACATGAACAATTACCTGAAAAAAACCCTAAACCTGTTAAAAGAATTAATTTACTGCACACCAGTCAGCACTAATCCCACATGTACAGTAATGTTCTCCTAAGTGATGGACAAAGAAAGAATAAAATTGCTTCCTAGATCAAAATCCTTCAATATGCAACAACAATATGGAAAGATGATTTGGTCTGTAAATGAATACAGTAGTGAAATGTCTCCTAAATAAATTCTGAGCAACAAGGCAACCTGTAAAGGAATATATTTACTGTATGCTGGGACTGGAAAAAAGCCACCACTGCAACAGCTGCACAGAAACTGTCCTGCTGCTGGGTTTATATTCGCTGAAGAAAGGTTTTAGAGGTTAAGTTCAGGTCATACAATAAATGAAATTGTAACAAGCCAGCTGACATTGGATAATGTCTTCTTCCACTCAATCAATAGGCTACTGTTAGTCCTATTACCATAGAGATGGCTTCTCCTTTCTGAAGGGTGTCTATTGTTTGACAAAACAGATTTGCCATTTGAACTAGGTTGTTCCCAAAGGACATGTACCTTGTCAGTTATTTGTATTCAAAATAATGTATTTTCATATTAAATGTATGTAATAATGTTAGATTCCTTTCCAGAAAGAAAACAACTTTTCTGAAGTACTGTATTACTAAACAACTTAGCCAGTTTGATAGTATTAGAGTTTGTATTTAAAATATTAGTAATTATAATTATTTATCACTAACATTGTATTAAAAGCAAAGATTCCCATGCTAGTATATTTATCTAAAATCATATAATCAAGCATAATTAAATGTGAACAACTCAAAGGAAAATTACTGTCCAAAGCTATTTAGATTTGGAGAAGTATTTTACATATGATTTTTTAAATAGTTTCTCTGTGGAATGGCATCAACAATATGGAAAAAACATGAAAAGAACATTAATCACTCTACTTGCCCAAGAGCATTTATAACATCACGCACTGACATGTCTTGTTTTAAAATTTCCTGTGAAAATTAATACCTTACATCTTTAATACTGAACAGGTTAAGTTCCAAATTTCAACCCAGAAATTCCAAATTTCAACCCAGAATTTCAAACAATCAGTTTTTCTCTCAATGGAAATACTGGTAGATACTTTAATCATAAAAGACTCAGAAGAAATAAATAGTTTTAATCAAAATTATTCTAACCCTCTAGAAAATGTATTCAGAATACTAATCAATCCAGCAGAGATATTATTTTAAACATTTCCTATTAAAGGTTTGACTAGCAATGAAAATATGTAAGATTAATGTAAAATTAAATAGAAACAAATTGAGTAATATAGACAAAATTTGGTCAAAACTATAATTTTTGAATCTGAATCCTTTCTACAAGTAGATTTAAAATCATATTAGCTTTTACATTTCTATAATTCCAAAGGAAATTTAGAGAGAATTTAATTAAAGGGTAGTACTGTGACTATATTAGTTGCCAAATATAACACTGGAAATTATATCTATTCAAATTATATTTACATTAAAATTTTGTTTTTATTTTAAAAAGCTTATAAAAGTTTTTAGAAGCAGTGCTTTATTAAGAATAGTTGGTTTTTCCCTTTATTAGAAAGTATAATTTGAATTTTTTTATATCATCCTCTTAGGTACAGGTTAGACTAAGATTGGAGACACAAATTTCAAAGGCAAATGAGTTTACCAACATCCTGAACTTTTGAGCAACTTGTTAAAAGCAGAGTAGCTCCCTAACTAAGAAAGCCTTCCATCAGTGAAGTCAGTAGGGCCTACTTTGCCTTCCCTCCCTAGGGCTGCAGTGGGACGGTGGAACACCTTGCTAAAACCACACCCCAAATAAGATCTCCTTGGTTAACAACCTCATTTCCAAAACCATACAGTATGTTCATATTTATACTATGATTAGAAATCAGGCCCAGCCTGAGAGGCAGCTGCCCATCAGCAACACTGTGAGTAATTGATATTTACTGTTTACCAAAAGATGAGCTTTATACTGCTGAGTTAAATTGGCCCATCTGCATCTTCATAAAGTGACAAACCTCATTAGTTCTGCCTAACCAGAGAACTGTGATAATGAGCTGGTGACACCTTCACCCCACTGTATGAAGCAGAGCCAACCGGGTAACTATTTGAGGGTTATGAAAGGCATATGAAAGACTGTAAATTAAGAAAGTGAAATCACGTGAGTTAAGGAAGCCACTCAAGCAACGAAAGTAATGTGTAGTTGGCCACAAGAAACCCACATTTCTAACTACTCAAAATTAACTAGTTAACTACTTTACCTGAAAACAGTGAAGAAAAGGAATGATGCAGCTACTGCTCCAAACAAGCCACAGAGGAGATTGACTCGGTAGGCAACAGAGCCAAACGGAAAGAGTGTGATTGCCAGTTTAGCCACCAGCGTGAACAAAGGATAGCCAGGAGGATGGGCCACCTACAGAAAAATGAGCAACAGAAGGTTTTCATCTAGAAAGAAGCATCGCACTGGCTCTAGGTGAAGTGGCCTTTTCTCAGGCAGGCACGAAAACTAAACGCTGGTGACTAAATGTCTGAACAGTGCTTTCCTGTTGTAATCCTCTTGTGACAATACAAATAAATATTTTCTTTAGAGGATTTGGCAGTGTCTATCACATGGCACGCCACCTAGAGAAAGGGTGACATATTTCATTGGCAGTCCTTAAGCAGTTTGTCTCTAGGTTCACAGTACGTTTGGGTCATTTAAAAGGCTATTGAAAAAAAGGGCAAGTTCTGAAATATTGCCTTGGTTAGAAAGTTGAAAGACCTCTTTGCTATTGGATTACCACCATGCTGACAGTCGGAAGGTCTTGACTAAAGGGATCACACACCATAATGAAGTTTATTAAATAATAAACTTACTAAAACTGTTAACCCGATTTATTCTCCACAGCTTATACAAAATTTGGGGTGATAATAAGCCATCTACTGTATATATAGTAAAGGCTTTGCTTTATAATTTAGTATAATTGGATTTAAAACTTTAAGTAAATTGTCACGTACTGTACTTAGAAGTTACTAAAAACTAGGGTTTGAAAATAAATTAATCTACTTTGCTCCATGCTTAATTAAACTTTCTTAATTCCTAAAACTGTTAATGAGAGCATTGATTAAACAATAAAACTAATACTTACTCCGAGCTCATGTGCAGCTGTGATCAGTTCCCCTGTGAAAAAATAATGTAAAACCAATAATTACTATTAGAGAATGACACTCCTCCAAAGTTTTCAAAATCCGAATGCTTGCATTGGGATTTTGCATTAATTTGACTGGATAAAACTGTAAATCTGTAGAGATTTAACAGCATGAAATAGTCTAAGAATCTTTTCTTCCTTAGGTCTTAAACAATCTTTGATAGTTTTTAGTGACTGGTCAGTGGAAACAGGTGAATTCTCATTTTTTAAAATGATCATTTTCCTTCCCAAGTTATATTTACTTGCAAATATAAAAATGCATTCACAGAGCATCAGGATAAGATGCTGTATTTTTAAGAATTCAGCATGCCTTATCAAGATACAGCTCTAAAGTTGGGTGTGGTAGCTCATGCCCATTTTCCCAGCACTTGGGAGGCAGAAGCAAGAGGACTGTCACAAGTTCGAGGCCAGCCTGTATGACATATAAAATGTCTGAGGTTTGGATGCTCCACTAAAGGTGCCATGCTACTGTAACTGGCATTTTGACACCTTTCTACATTAAGTTAGGAGTCATTAAATAATCTTCTGGGCTGTTTTGATAAGTTCTCTCATAATACAGCTATGAACAAACAAATCATCTGATTCTTTATATATGGTTCCTCAGTGCTACTGGTTATTTCTCAAATTACGATGCAGTAATTCAATGTCTGTTACTGTTTTAAGTACTCAGAGCACTAATGTCTCCACGCAGCAGTACAGTAAGACATTAGTGAATAGTAACGATTTGTGAGTTATTGTTGCTTATTATGAAAGGCACAAGTATACATTTTCTGTTCTTCACTTTCTGCCTTTAATTTCTAGCTTTACATTCTCTGGCCTGGACTATAGCAAGACTTTACTATATCTCTGTGCCAAAATTATTTATGACTGCCACACCCTCCCCCCATTTACACAACACACAGACAGGTTCCCATCTGGGCTGTTGTCTGTATTTTCTCATCGGCGGCTCCTACCAGTGCATTCAGATACCTTAGAACAAGGGCTTCCTCGATCAGGCCCCTTATGGCTTCAGGGTCCCTTTTGGTAGGCTTATATTCACACAGCATACGCCCCCCGACATCTGAGTACCAGTGCTAATCTGGGGTGGCCCACCCCTTTTCATGCCTATCACTCATTTTCACACCCTGGAATATTTCTCCACCATTCTTCCCTAAATCCTCCCAGGCCTGGTTCAACTGTCACTTTCTCAGTAACACCTTTCCTTACACACATCCAGCTCCAGCATCCTCCATCAGTTCATTATTTCCTTCTCTTTCACAGAGCCTGCCTGAAACTATTTAGCACTTTCTTATATTGCATTATATTCTGGCTACTTGTTTTCATTTCTCTCTCCCACTAAGTTTAGAAACATATCTTATCCATTTCAGGATCTTGTCAAGCTATCACCACCTGTCCCCATGCTAGTCACTCACAAAGAATCAAATATAAGCCCTCTGCACATAGCGGGTGGTGAAAACATACTGTCATCCTTGCTAATCAGAAACCTCTCTGAAGGGATGAGTGCATCACAGAAGGCCCCTAAGGGCACCCAGAATCATGTCGCTTATTTGGGTCAATTACTGATATCAGTACCTTAGTGACTGAGGTACTTTTTATATCCTGAATACTTCTTTTTAAGGAAATTGTTTATGACCTAAAAATGATTAGAACGGCTCCCTCTGTACCTGCTTAAGGACAGACTTTACAGTTCCACTCGGGGTTAACTTTGTTCTGACCCACTTTTGTTCTCATCTGTGTGACAAAGCATGTGGTAATTTCTAACTTTCAATTCATCACTGAGCACAGAGATACAGTAAAGTCATGCTATAGTCAAGGCCAGAGAATGTAAAGGTGGAAATTAAAGGTAGAAAGTGAAGAACAGAAAATGTATACTTGTGCCTTTCATAATAAGCAACAATAACTCACAAATGATTACTATTCACTAATGTCTTCCTGTACTGCTGCATGGAGGCATGAATCAGAAACAGTGCTCTAGGTACTCTTCCATTCAAATGTTTTCAAACTACACTTTAACATTAATACCCCATTTCCTCTAACTTTTGCCATTAAATAAAATCCGTATTTTTACCCTTGGACTTCCATTGCTGTAAAAACAAACCTGGAACTTGACACACTTCCATCAATTCTTAGCAATGTTAACTCTAAACAGAAAATATGCCACTGTTCAAAGTTTGTAACATACCCTTGCTCAAGAGCTAAAGGGAAACACTGCTCTCCCACTGAATGTGAAAGAGTCCAGTGAACACTAAAATAAACAAAACCCCAGAACACTCAGTACCTCCAGAGTCCCTGCTTTCTCCTATCCCTTGACACTGGGGTTTCCTCAGGCAAATTCTATGACCACAAAACTTCTGCTCTTGTAAGGCCCTCTGACATGGAGTCATGCTTTCTATGCAATTTTCAAGTATATTCAGGTTTGAGACTCACAGCTCTGTTGTTCAAGATGCAAATTAGCAGTAAGCTCAGAGCTGTCTATAGATGCTTAAAGTTTACAGAATCCAGGTCCCTTCATGATACATTATTATTCTACTGCCACATAGCAAGTCTGTTAAAATCACCACTTTCAATGTATATAAATCCCTCTATAAGTTAATCGAGTGAACATGGGGCTCCCATACTTTCTCTTAGGACCATGAGCACCCCTGCCCATGAATGTACTATGCACGTTTAGTAGTGCAAAAAACAAAAAGTCACATAATGTGATAGACTTAAAATATAATTAAGACTTATCAGGAAGAAGAATACATGCTTTATTTTGGTTTTGAGATGTGTTCTGTTTACTGATAGAATATATAATTTCATAAAGTTTCAAGGAGAGTGGTACATTCAGCATATAAACAAAATGCTCAAAGCTTGGGTTTTCCCCCACATTGGCATAGTTGAAAAACAGGCCAGTGATCATTCCCCCAAATCAACATAAAAATATCAGAAGCCACCACTATTTAGCATCCAACTTAGCAAATCAGAACACTTAAAAAGTCTGGTGACCTAGTGGAATACATAACTTTAATCTTTCAGTAAAAAACAAAATGCAGTATTATAAAAGATAACATCTTGAATAGATTTGCTATGTGTGCACTGGTGTTTTAACAAGGAATTTCATAAAAATGTTTTCAACAGACTAGGCATTAAGAAAAACTTTTCTAAGTCAACGGGTTTCAGTTCCTTTTCAGATGGCCCTTACTAACTCTGACTCACAATATAGTTTAGCCTTATTTTTCTCATCTACAAAGAGAAAAATAGTACCTACCTCCTAGGATACCTGGGAGGGCAGAAAAAATCCATAAAAAGCACTGGGAACAGTGTCTGGCATATAGTGAATTCGGTGTTAACTTTTATCCATCTCATACATTTCAGGCTCATATAACCATAATTAGATATATTTTTTTTCTTTTTTTAAAAGTGGGTACAGAGTTAGCTAACCTCTAAATAATACTGTCCAACGTCAAACCTCTTGCCAACCTAACACTTGAAAAGTTGGTAACTCCATTCCCTGCCATGCTAATGAAACACTACCCCTATTTGCTCAATGGAAAGGGAGAGCAGAAAGGTGGACTTGAAAATGCGCCATCAAGGATCCTTAAGGTGGCAGGCAGTCTTGAAGACGGTGCCAGTAATCCCCAATTCCTGGCATTCTTATGTGTAATCCTCTCCCCCTTTGAACTGGGCTAGATTTACTGACTCCCTCAAATAAAATAGGGCAGTGACATATCACTTCTAGGATTAGGTTTCAAAATGACAGAGGTGTCAGACAGAAGTACCCTATCTCTTTCTCTTCACAGGAGTCAGCTATCTTATGGGGTGACTCAAAGCAAAGAACTAGGCTGAGATTAGAGACAGATATTCCCCCAAATCGGGCCTTGAGAAGTCTGCAGCTCCATGACAGAACTCTGTCCCGTGCGAGTATACCCAGCTAAACTGCACCCAGAACTCCCGATCTACAGACTGGGATATGATAAAGGTTCCCTGCTTCAGCCATCAAATCTGGTTTAGCCTGTCATGTAGCGAAATGATAAAGAGTGCACCGGTTCTTCAGAAAATAGTTTCGCTGCCTGAATTTACAGCACCATCATGACAAAATCTGCATTACTGGTCAATTCATTTGACAGTAAAACAAAAACCAGGAACTTGTTTCTACTCTCAAACATGATACTTTTATGCCTGATTTAAAACGAGCTGTGTGAATCAAGCTTTTCTTTTTCACAGAAGCAGCATGCTTTAAGCTGCGGCTGGCAACCGCTCTTTAAAGGGTTCTCTAAATATTCTGCATGGCTGGTTCCTCTCAATATTCAGCTTGCAATTAAAACACCTTCTGGGAAGTCCAATCTGAAGGACCCGCTCACTACCCACGTCACTCTCAATTGCATTTCTCTCTCGGTGTCTCGGTAATGCATCGCTACTTAAAGTGTAGTTTATTCAGTAACTTGTGTATCATCTCTAACACGCTAAACACGCTCCATGCTATCTGCTCAACACCACTCTCATTCCTTCCGATTGCAACACTGTAAGAACTCGGTAGCTACTATTTATGAACTAAAAGTGAATAAAGTAAAAACTCAGGACCAGAAGATGTGGGTAAGTGGACAGGACGTTAAATCCCATCCGCCGAAACCCACAGAAGCCAGAGATCCCGGGATGGAAAGGCACCTGGCCGAGCCCCGGGGAGCGGTCACCCGAGGCCGCGCGGTGCTTCCGGCGCCGGGCGGGGGAGCGGAGGAGGGTGGCCGGAGTACTTTACCCGAGTCTCCCCCCGGCACCGAGGGGGGCAGAGTGAGGGTGAACACGGCGGCCACGGCGGCGAACACGGCCACGCAGCCACGGAGGCCCCCGGAGTGCCGCGGCCCCGCTCGGGCTGCCGGGCCCCCGCCGTCGCCATGGAGACGCATGGGCCAGGACGCGCACCATGCAGCACACACCCCAGGTGCGTTCGGAGCGTCCGGGACGAGAGGCGCGCGCAGCCGGCGGCAACTTCCGGTGGACGGGGCGGGGCAGCCGCATCTTTTCCCGCTGGGAGGGGGAGCTGACAAGCGCATGCACAGCACGCCCCGGGAGTGTTCTGGAACCACCCTACTCACAGTGTGGTTTCCAGTCATGAGTCACAGGGGCAGACTTCCTCTGGACGGCAAGGCTGGGCACAGGCCTGCCGACCCCAGGGCAGTGTCACCGCCCCGCCCCCGCCCCCCGCCCCCGACTCCCGCCTTGCGCACCGACTTGGTCAGTTCTCACAGAAGGAAGCGGCGCGGAAAACCGCGAGCCAGAAAGAGCTGCTCTGCCCCCTACGGTGTGGGGTGGAACTGCACAAAAGAGCGTCGACCTCAGCAAGAGGTGCTGTGCAAAGCCACAAACACACTGGCTGCTATTGGCTTTTCAGTGCATACAGCAATAGCCATTGTGTATTTATACGATTTACCTTACTAGGGTTAATGTAAACCCGTGTGCTAATTAAGTCACTGATTTTCAGAGATTAAAATGTGCTTGTTTGCCTTAAAAAAACATGAGGAAAATAAGATGAGTTGGGAAACTGGAGTTCTAGTATTAATAAAAATGGCTCTTCATGATAAAAGTGTATCCTACTTAAATGAAATGTTTTGATGAAGACTTGATGTACAAGTGGGAAATGAAATGGAGACAAGTAACAATGCAAACGGGAATGGGAGCTACTGGCAACCACACATCCCATTGCTGGGAATTGAACCTAGAGCCTCACATGTGCTAGACAGACACTCTACCACTGAGCTTTTTCTCAGCCCTTAATATTTTAAAAGTTATTTGTGTTGCTTGCATGTATGTAAATGCATTTGTGCATGCAGTGCCCATGAAGGCCAGAAGAGGGCGTTAAATCCCCTGCAACTGTAGCCATGTGGGTGATGGGAACCTAAACCAGGTCCTCTGTAAGAACAGTGCTCCTCATTACTGGGCCATCTCTTCAGCCCCTTAGTAAATATTTGAAACTTACATTTTGCATTGTTGTAGCAATTGCTCTGATTGGGAAGAAAGGAAACTTTCATACAATGTACTTCAAAATGCATGGAAAATAAATGACATTTTCAAATATGTTAGATGCAATCTGACAGGAATTTACATCCTTACTGTAAAGTAACATACCACCTCCCAGGAACACAGCATCCCAACTGTAGAGTAACATACCTTCTTTTATTGGCAGTAGCTTTGACAGCTTTCCTTAGTCTTTTCCCCGGATTTACATAATTTTTCTCAGCTGAATTTCTGGGACACAGGGGCTGTGTGGTATGCTGCTTGGACAATGGCTCCCAGCAGTCCCTGCATCCTGGAATTACCTGGAAGGGTATTCAGTGTAACCCTTCCTTCTGGGTATGGGCTACACCTTAGGAATCTTATTGATGGAATACACAAATTGATGGATGTCTCTCTTTTTGAGATTAGGTTGTGAAAGACTGATTTTTCAGCCTTTTCTCACACCACTACTTCTCAACTTCTTGTTCTCTCTGACGAAGCCAACTACCATGTTGTGACCTGCCATATAGAAAGGTCCACATGGCAAAGAACTGAGGGGACCTCCAGCTAGCACTCTGTGAGAAACTGAGGCCTTCTGTCCATTAAGCTTCAGAAAACTGAATCCCTCTAACACCATGTGAAAGAGTTAGGAAGTGGACCCTTCCCCCATGTTAGCCTTGCAGTGAGTTTAACTCTGGTGGAGACCCTGATTGCAGCCTGTGAAAGACCCTGAAGCAGAGAACTCAACTAAGAATCTCCCAGATTGCTGTTCAGTAGAAGCAATGAAATAATAATGTTGATGCTTTAAGACAATGAGTTGTGATAATTTGCTAGTTAGCAACAGAGAACTAAGAAAGCTTCTATTTCTTTTCTGAAAGAACATGTCAATGAATAATTCTGAGCCAAGCATAGACGTCTTTCTCCTTTGGTCCATTTCATCTTTTGCTTATATAAAGTCTTAAAAAAAGATCCATTTTTTTTTTTTTTTCAAAAGGGAATAACTACTTGAGTTTGGGAAGATCAGTGCTAGATCTACACATTTGACACTCACAGAGGAATGACTAGGTTGAAAATAGCATAAAGAGAATACAAACTGTTGCCGGGCGTGGTGACACACGCTTTAATCCCAGCACTCGGGAGGCAGAGGCAGGTGAATCTCTGTGAGTTCAAGGCCAGCCCAGTCTACATAGTGAGTTCCAGGTCAGCTGGGGCTACCGGGAGACCCTGTCTCAAAGAATCCAAACCAAAACAAACAAACAAAAAAAAGAGAATACAAACTGTGGTCTAATGTTAGCCCGCATCTTCATTTAGGGAAAAAGTGAACAGAGAGTGGTGAATGAGAGTAAAGGATCACAAAGGGATAGGAAGGGGATGAGTCAGGACAGGAATAAAAGTGTATGAGCCACTCCTTTAAAAAAATATTGTGTGAGTATGTAAGTGTAATACCCGCATGTATGCAAGTGTACCACACAGTGCCCACAGAGATCAGAAGAGGGCGTTAGATCCCCTAGAACTGGAGTGACAGTTGTTAGCTGCCATGTGGGTGCTGGGAATTGAACCCAGGTCCTCTGCAAGAGCAGCAGGTGCTCTTAACTGCTGAGTCATCTTTCCAGTCCCATCTTTATTCTTTTTAGTGTTCTGGAAAGGCCATTGCATAATTCTCCTGCATTACATTGGTCTCAGTTGAGTTATGTGCCTTTCCTAGAGGGCAAAAGATGCTGGGAAATGTACTTTTCAACTAGACAGCTTGTGTGTGTCCATGTATGTGCACGTGGCGATCAGAGGTCAACCTTAGGTGTCTTCCTTAATTTCCACCTAATTTTTTTTTTGAGTCAGTATCGCTCACTGAGCCTGGAGCTCATTGATTGGCTAGACTTCCCAGTAAGCCTGGAGAATCCCCCTGTCTCTGTCCCCTGGCCGCCAGGGCTTGGGGTTACAGATGCCAATGCCATGCCTGGCTTTGACATGGGTGCTGGGGATCCACACTCAGGTCCTCAAGTTTGTGCAGCAAGCATTTTACCCACTGAGCTCTCTCCCCAGCCCCAGGATTCTCTTACAAGAGTACAGTGAGACTGCGTGCTAGAAGCTGACTAGCCCTTTGTAATTGGATTTGATGACCTGTACATATTTGAACCTTGGATGGTCACTTTGGTTTCAGCAAAGAAGTGGACATGGAAACCAAGTATCAGTGTGTCAAGAAATGAGGAAACAGAGGCAAAAACAATATATTTGTAAGGAGTTTAAAGAGAAAGAGTGGAAGAATATGGAAATTCACAGGGATTAAAATGCCAGATGAGGTTCGTTTTGTTTTGTAGCCTAAAAGAGTGTCTGACATGAGGTAGGGAAATTAGAGATGAGGCCAAGGAAAACAGGAGAGGGTTGTTGTCACAGTTCGCTTCAGTTGTTAACCTGGCACACTGAGAAAAGGGAAGCTCAGCTGAAAAACTGTCTTGACCCAGTGGGCCTGGGTTGTGTAAGAATGCTGGCTGAGCATGCGCCAGGAGAAAAGCAAGCCAGTAAGCAACGCAACATTCCTCCATGGCCCCTTACTTCAGTTCCTGCCTCCAGATTCCTGTCTTGAGTTCTTGCCTTGGCTTCCATCAATGATGGATTGTAACCTGTAAATCAAATAAACCCTTTCCTTCCCAAGGTGGTTTTGGTCAGTGTTTTATCACAGGGACAGGTAAACAAACAAGAACGGTTAACCTCACATGGGGAGGGGGGAGAACACGAGAGCTCTTTAGGTTACACATGACAGTTGGACTTGATTCTGGATTGGATCCATACGGCATACAAAGAACATTACTGTTTATGTTCTACTTCATTTTACTGTAGTTTGGAGATTACTACAATACATAATACAAAATACAAAAACATATAAATCACTTAGGATTTAACAAAGAAACAGTAGGATACATATGGATTACAACATTTATTTAATGTGATTGTGGCTGCAGACTAAGCAGGTTCGAAACACATAGGAAAGGCCATCGCGAAGTGCAGGCTAGACTCGGGCAGCATGAGGGATGGCTGCTGCCCACAATGGGATTTCTCCTTCATCAGGGAAGCCTCTTCTCTGCTCTTATGGCCTTTCAACTGATTGAATCAGGCCACTCAAAATACCTAGTATTGAGCTGGGCATGGTGACACATGTCTTTAATTTCATCACTTGGGAGGCAGAGGTAGGTGGATCTCTGTGAGATCAAGGCCAGTCAGTTGGAAAGTGAGGAACTGTAGCTAAACCAAGTTGTGTATCCAGTGACCATCATAGAGACCCTGGATCATATGAGTTAAAAACAGCATCAGCTCTCTAGCCCCACTGTTCCAGAATTTGGGCCTTCTCTACCAACTAGTAAGAACCAGACTCTTCTGTTCTTATTGGCTCTCCTTGGGTCCTGGTCATCTCCTGCTGAAGCTACTGGAGAGCACCTGGCTCACCAGGATGAAGACTACCACAGAGTTCCAGAACTGTTCAAATGCAGAGAATGTGTCTGTGAGACACTAAACTCGAAGTGACACATCTTCAATGCAACCTCTATGCATAGGATGAATGCATCTCTCAACTCCCTTATGCAACAGGTGGTGATTAACACAGAAACCTACAACTGGCCAACGGGCAGAGAACAAGAGGCTGCAGAGTGCTGCCTCCCAAGGCTCAGGGATTATTGTGGAAGAGGAGGTGGAAAGATTTTAAGAGCCAGAGGAGGTGGATGACCACAAGGAAACAATCTTCCAGACAGCTGGTCAGCTTCTCATATGAACTCACAGCAGTAGTGAAAGCATGCACAAGTCCCCTGCAAGTTCAACTAGACAAACTCTCAGCAAAGTCACAGGGAAGTAGGTAAGAAATCCCAACCCAACCTAAGGAACTTTTGGCACTTGATGGCTGCTGGGAAGGGAAGAGACAATATTTTACAGGGATAGGACTCTTGGTGGGCCCAGTGGATGGACCCACACTGAAGGACATTTGGGGACACAAATATATATGGAGAG